TCCTTCATCAGAATGCACCGGCTACCTCCTGCTCTTTCTCTGTAGAGAGAGTTGCTTCGAGTCAAGAAAATCATAAAGAGCCTCAGAGGTGTAAGCGGGAAGGGACTTAAGAGTAGAGAACGACATTCCCCAGGACTGTAGCCTTGATGACTGAGTGGAAGGTCGTTTATGGGGCACTTTGTAGGACAATACATGCCGATAGATTTCTGTTGCCAGGGACAAGCATGGGGATATAGGCCTGGGCCCTCACATTGCCTGAATGCCAGTGGCACCATGTGTGGTTGCTCTGATGTCCTTCCTTCAAGAACAGAATGTGGTTACAGTAAGAAGGGAACCCATATTTGAATCAGGTTCAGCATGTTTTAAATGAGTGGGGGGGAGGATGAATACACAATGCACAAGGAAGCTCCGGAAACATGTTTTCCCCACAGGATATGCGTTTTGTCAGAAAGCGAATTATTTTGAGGTACCTTTCAGGTTCTGAGGCTTGGAATGCTGGTGGGGAGCCTTTAACAGTCAAAAACTGAAGTCAGAAGACTTCTGGTGGGATCAGGACCTCCACCATCAATTCAGCACCCATACGTGACTATTTAAGGCTTCCTCCCCCACATCCCAAAGGGAGAAGGGAGCCTTCGGGACCTAGAAATAAAATGGGAGAATAAAGATTTTCAGGGGTTTAAATTAATTCCTTCCAATCTAGATTACAGGGCCGAAAATGTCCGACAACAAGATTTTGTTCTGGATTCAATATATCGTATACTGGCTGTTCTCCTAATATTACAAACCAGTGTTTCTTTTTTAAAAACAGGGACGAAGGTTATTTTCAGCCAAACTGCATTTCTCTTAAGATAAAGGCCTAATGTGGGGGTGGGGAGGCTGGGCAACGGCCAAGGAGAGCAATCTTGAAGAGAAATCTTGAAGAGAAATCTCTGTTTGTCGTCCCATTAAAAGCCTGCTCTAAGGCTCTTTATGATTTTCTTGACTGAAAGCAACTCTCTCTACAGAGAAAGAGCAAGGACGAAACCCTTTGGGCCCCTTAAAGACTAACTGCACTCTTTTAATGTGAACTTTTGTGGATAAATTCACTTCCTCAGACAGAGAAACATTTACTTATTTATTTCATTATACTTTTACCTCACCCAACTAGTGGCCAAACTGGGTAGCAAACGGAGGGCATAATATATACGGTACATAGAAGAGCCGTAACATAATTAACATAGGAAAATCAGGGGGTGGGAGGACATCAGCTATAAGAAAAAGTGACTTAAATACTGAGGTAACACTAAAAGAAATAAATTGTTAAGTAAAGAGTATACTATTCAGCAGTGGCAGATGACATCAAGTTCACAGGCACAGGGAAAGCGGGGTAGGGGGGAGGAACCTGACTACTGGCGACAGGATGAATCTATGGGAAGGCATAAAAGGTCTGTGTGAACAGTCAGATTTAATCTGTCTCTAGAAGCCAAGGAGGAATTTGGAATTTAACCCCAGAAGGTAGCCAGTTCCAGAAAGTTGTAGCCACCACAGAAAAGACACAGTTTTTTTTTGGGGGGGGGCAGATTTCTGGGCCTTCCTCAGGGTCAGCTCTCATAACATCCCAGTAGAAGAGGTGTGGGTGGGATGAGGAGATATTTTGAGGGAAAGGTACTCAGAGAAGTAGCAAAGTCCTGAACTACATGTTTCCCCGAAAATAAGACAGGGTTTTATATTAATTTTTGCTCCAAAAACACATTAGGGCTTGTTTTCATGTACAACAATCTACATTTATGCAAATACAGTCATGTCATCTTCTTCTGGTTGCTGCACAAGGCTGGAGGGCCAGGTTTCACTGAACTGGGGCTTATTTTTGTGATAGGGCTTATATGACAAGCATCCTGGAAAATCATACTAGGGCTTATTTCAGGGTAGGTCTCATTTTCGGGGAAAGAGGGTATGAAGGGCTTCCAATGCTGTCATCAGCACATTTGTGGAATGTCCTGCAACCCTTGCCCTAAAGAGGTTGACTTGTGTTAGATGCTCTGCAAGTTGCCACGGGTGGGCAGGAGCTGGAGGTTGCTGCTCTGCCTCCTGGGCCACCCCTGATCTTTAGCAGATGGATTTGTGGCAGCGAAGGGAGTATTTCAAATATGCTGTGTGAGTTCCTATGACCTATGATCATACTAAGGGATAGAATATCTTTCTCTTTCTCTTCACCACCAGTTTTCATCTCAATATACGTATGTGAAGTGAAGAGAGATGTTAATTAAGGAAACATATAAACTTCGCTATAATTACAGCTGACAAAAATTGCCAAAAACTATTTTT